AGAGAGAGAGAGAGAGAGAAAAGAAAGCTACTCAGTTGTTCACGCTGAGCGCTACCACTACACTACTCCTTACTCAAACGTTTTTTTTTTGTGTCTGGCCGGAAAAAGTTATATTTTGTTTTGTAGGAAGACTATGGCAGGATTAAACAAGGAACTGCAGAACAAAACTTTACTGCATTTGGCGGAGACAGACAGGCTTCGTCACACAGAGCATCAACTTCACGCTTCTGAATCCAAAGTGGAAAGACTAAACAGCGAAAATATCAAGCTAAGGCTTAAAATCGACGATTTAAGAATAAAACTACAAAATCGTAAGTTGTCGATATTTTAGCACTGCTTACCTAAAATTAATTGTCGCAAAAAAAAGTTCTCACTGACTTTACCGTTGTCAGATTCGAAAGCGGCCATTCTTGCTCATCCGGAGGGTAGCCCGTCATCCCGTGGGGGTTCCCCCCTCCCGTAAGCGACCAGTCACCACTTATACCGATTTTCGTTGTAGTCGTTTACAAAAGAGTTAACTAAAATCTCATTCTACGTTAGATTCTCAGGGCATAGCTCAGAATTCGTCTGAACCACAAAACATCAATAGATCTGTGGGGAAGGCAAGATCGGCCGCCGGGTTCACTGACGCCAGCACAAGTCTTGAGCAAACAGCACCGAAGAAACAACGGCAGGACAACTTGGAACCGAAAGCTCGGCCGATAAAACAGGAACCGCTGGGTGTCAAACCCAAATTAGACGAGTCTACAAGTGTGAAGTTTCCCAATGTCCCATCAACTCTTCAAAACATGCATGTACTAGATTTAGAAAAACCGGCTATAAGAGAGCAAAACAGCAAACTTTTAACTCCAGTTCAAGCTGGATCAATTGCTTGGAATTTAAACTCATCGAAAATTTTGGCATTATCAAATAACAGCGATGAAAAAGGCGTCAGGATTGAAGAAAAGTGTGAAAATAAGACAAGGGTTCACTTCCCTGAAGCCGCCGACAGCCTCTGTTCTACAAAGATGGATACAAGCGATTTAACACAGACTCAAAGTGTGGTGGAAAATGTAGACATGGAACTGAAGAAAGAAAATTGTCATCCTAAGGTAATTATAGACTATCAAAAAGATCCTTCTATCGCTTAGTCCCAGCGCGGCCTTATAAGGTCGCTCCGCTTGCTTAGAATCTCGTGAGGTCGACTTGTAGCAAGTCTAAGGTAACTATTCACGTTTCCATCAAATGGAGTCAGTAATGCCCAATGTCCGCCTCTATTAATAAAGGACATCCCTCGGTGGCATACATGGAGCGACCAGTGGCCGCTGTATTGGCGGGCTGAGTCAATTCCAGCCCCTTTGTACTTGTATTTTCTAGGCGAATGTTGTGTTTAATTTTTCAGGGAATGTTCTTTACATTGTTCGATACTGGTTAGCTAGTATACGGTGTATACTTGAACAGCCGAGCTAATATGGACGAAGTAAATGGCCTCTTTCACCATCGTCTCGCTCGGAGGGGAGCGGGGGTGGGGAGCTTGACTCTATCATTTTACCTGAGTTTTTGTCTCTGATTTTCAGGACTGTACTTCAGGAAATGGCAGCATTTCTACAGTCACCGTCAAAGGACAAAGAAACGCGCCAGTGGTTATAAATGTGAAAAAAGGCGAGGCTAAAAACCAGTGCCCACAGCAGTGAGAATTTACTGGATAAACAAATATAGGGTGCATCCATTTAAAGAAAGGAAATTACCTTTAATTAGTAGCAAAGGAACTAGTTATAGTAACACCGGAGAAATTCCCATTTCAGTGTTTGTTTAAAAGCCAGAGGAAAAAAGAACTTGTATTAAGGGGACCAAATTTCAGTAGTCTGCAGAACAGACATTATTTTGTTTCTCACGCGATTAACGGCAAGCGCGAGGCGGCCCGCCTTTAACTCTGCAGGCCAAATTTCAACAGCGATTGTAAGAGAGTTTACACTGAGTAAGCACCACATTTACGCCGAAAGGTAAAGCTCAGCATAAGAGTGCTAACAATATGACAACGACCAAAAAGAAAAGTTTAATTTGTTTTTCATCTACACCAAAACCTTTTTTATGTTGAAAATGCTTAACTGCCGCAAGCCCAATTCCCCATTCCGCAACCATAAAGGGAATGGTTACATGCTTTCGGCGCAACGATTTCTGGGATTGTTTGGGTAGATAAGCATTACTTGTGAATAAGTAATGGTTGCTTTGAACACCATCGACCAATCATAACTAACGCTTGTCCAACCAAAAGATGCCAGAAATCACTGCACCCAAAGCTTGTATCCATTTTCCCTGGAGTTCCAAAAAAAGCGGGAAAGATGTCACATAGTAACATCTGGCTTTGGGCGGGAAAATTTTACCAAAGCAAATCCCAAAACGAAAACGAAGGCCTTGCAAAAAAAAAAAAGACACAATTCAAGTACAAAGAGAAATTGCATGTACCAGGGCAAAAACAGCCCGAAGTGTTTCATTCTCTAAGATATTACACATATTAAGTATACAAGAGCTAAGCTATCGCTGGGATGTTACTTGTATGTTTCTTGACGCTAACCAATCAGAAACAAGCAGTGTAAACCGTATACAGTATTGATAGATGACCAGGAGCAAGCAGTGGGCCATTCACGGCTTGCCGTTCCCGTGCTTGCTACCCGTTACTTGTTTTCACACTTGTTTTGACTGGTTAGCGTGTTTAATCATAAAAATTATGTGTTTTCAACTTGAAGAATAGACCAAAAGTGATCTACAAACACACAAAATTTTTTTTTGTACTTTAAACGGAAATTTGCGTTTACATATTAAGTTCAGATTCTAAACAAAAAGGTCAGTACAGTCAGTATTTTATATAAGTCTGCTGTAATAAAGAAAAAAATAAACGATACTCCATTAAGAATATTAACAATTGAACTTGGCAGATTTTTTTGGACTTTGTTCTTGTAATGAAACACGGCAAAGTACATCTAAGACCTATACTTTCTCACAAACCGCGATGGAGTTATAGCCCAACCCTTACAAGTATTAAAAATGGCAAATAAAGATAGCACTCATCGTATTCTTTCTTTTAACAATAACTTAGCAGTTTGTTGCTCTCTAATTTTTCGAGAGCTGTCGCTTCTGTACTACAGTCACAAACGCATGGACATATGCACAAACAAATTACGGTGGTATTTTAGACCGGAGTACCCTAAGTAACTATAAATAAAAATTAAAAAAAAAAAAAGATGACGATTTTTTACGCAGCACTAAGCGTACTTGACCAGCGTACTTGGCTGAGTAAGGCTATCATCAAACGTGGTTTCACTTTTTTGGCTGAAAAGTTTCTTCGCCCTCCGCAGGCAAACACTTCTGCTTCTGCAGAAAAGATGTCTTTTGACATCTTACAGATGCAGTCCATTTAAGGTAGAAGACAATTTTGGTGTCATTGATTGTCTGTCAAAAAAAGAGCAAAAACATCAATATTAGTTACGTAATGAAAATAAAGCAGATCACAGTAGGGACATTTAGGCTATGTTCACAGAACTACGGATAGCTTTTGTCCCGGCACGAAAACTTCCTTATTATAGGAAATTAACGCTCCATGAAATTAAAGTATTGGAAATTAACGCGAATTTAATGGAAAACGACTTTCGAATAAAGAAAATTAACGCGAAGGAGGAGGTAGAATTTCATAATAAAGGAAATTAACGCAATTAATTACGCGAAATCAAAGGAGAAGATATTGACATCACTTCTGACAGCGGCAACGATGAAGATGAACTCGAAATATTGTAAATCTTCGCCTTAGCTGTTTTGAAAGATGAAAAATAAAGGGTAAATGGAAAGAGAGAAAGCTTGTAGTTAATGTTTTTTAGGTGTCAACAATATCTGGACAGGTTCCAAAATTGGGGTTGAAATACTGGAAATTAAGAGCGCGAAAATTAACGCGCAACAAAAGTAATGCGACTTAAATTAACGCGAATTTTAACGATTCGCGTTAATTTCATGGAGTGCTAATTTCCTACAATAAGGTATACCAGATAGGGCTTCTGTTCACACATAAGAAACGAAGCAAATTAACGTCGCGGAAATTAACGCTCAACAAAATTTCCTATGATAAGGTATACCAGATAGGGCTTCTGTTCACACATAAGAAACGAAGCAAAGCTGCGCGCGTCGATCTCTGAAGTGGAAAGTCAAATATAACGGATAGGAGTTCATACTATACCGTTTAGTGTGAACATATCCTAAGGGAAAATAAGACGCAAACTGTCCCGTATACACTGCGCTTTATACGTACGCGTTCTATTCTTTCTCGTATAAATGGTCCTAATATCCTTATGACAGAGAGAGCGTTTGTAACCACACCAAGGTTCGATAATTTCGGCGTAGGTATATACTGCAAAAACCGGCAAATAAGGACATCAGAGAGACATGATTATGTGCCGGAATTATATTTACGTGTCGCTTAGCGGTATTTTTATCCATTAGTTTCACTTCCTTGAGACGCTTCAAACGCTGTGCGTTACCGGGGGGTTTTAATAAATGGAACTTCTCGAGGAAGAAATCCTACGTCGACAAACTACCGTAGTTACAGGGGTCAGGCGGAGGCATTCACAGACCTTCTGAGTAAGCGGAATCTGCGATAACAAGATAGAGTATTTTGGGGTACAGGTGCTCTTTATCTCCCAGCAGTTCACTGATTTCGGCAGCATTAGAAATTTCTGCACAGTCATCTTCATTTTCTTGAACAGACTGAAAACAAACAGAACGTGAACCGGCACTAAAAGAGAAGTTGCGTATACAAAATAAATAAGAAGATGGATAGGTGAATTTATTCTATTTAATCAAGGTCACTAACACTGCTGAGTAAACTATACCAAAAAATAATGCATGCTGACTTTCATCGCACCAGGCACGACGCAGACCAGTTCGCCGTTTTGGTCTAGCAACAGAACGGGAAGGTCAGTTGACGAAGGGAAAGCGCGCGGAAAGGACTAAACGCTACATCCAGTGCCAGCAGTTTGTCGCTCTCCATTGGTCAAGCCAGTTGTTTGACAGTTGTTTGATTTGCGCACGCCGTCATCAACTGACGATCCCGTTCTGTCGCTAAATCAGCCTAATATGACTGAGTTTGATTGAATTCGGCACCACCATGATACACCCCCAGCAATGCTTTGGAGAAGTACTAATTCGAACCTTAACGACCTTTCGTTCTTTAGAATCGACTGAATGTTACTATTATACCTGAAGATATTTGTATACTCGCAAAAACTTGTCGAATCCTAATTCCTGCTCCAGCATCAGCCTTGACTCTTCAAGTCTGTGGAACAAACTCTCGTCCTCCTCCTGCCGCTTTCTCTCTCGCTCTTCCTTTTTGGCCGAGTCTTCCTCCTCATCATCGTCATCACCTGCAATTGAAAGATTTAAAGCAATGGAGTAATTAACGGGAGTACAACTTTGCAGTACCCAATTTCGACCTTATATACACCAGGCTAAGTGAAGCCCTACAGCCTCAGTTTACGACAACGATGTTATTTGAAATAATCGGAAAAGTCGCTGTGGTTATAAAGTACAACCCTCTTTTAAAGGACACCTCGCTAAAACGGACACCTAGAGTTGGATCCTTCCTTTCTTTACTCTTTAGTTTTAGTTACTCTAAAAGACGGACACACAGTACCGCTTTTAAAGGTGTCCGTCTACTCTTAGAGACAGTCGACTGTGGTACTTATACACTAATGATGAAGGCAAACCTAAACGTTGCGCGAAATCTTAGAGGTGGGATTGTAAGAAAAAAGCTTCATCTCGGCGTTTCAAGAGCATATTGGATACAGGCTCGCAGGGGTCCATTATCACTTGGCTAGAATTTCTATTTTGGTTTTTCGAAGACTGTCTATTTTCTTATTTTATGAATCCGATCTCCATTTTCATACCTGAATCCCAATCTTCATTTAAGTTGGACAGCTCAGAGGAAGATCGCCCCATTTCCGCTCCGTCAAATTCATCTTCTCAGGCAAGAAAAAAATTATATTTCATTTTAGTTTGAGTTGTAATATTGTAGTTAGCTTATCAGGTTTTTTTTCTTCTCTCACTCTCCCCCACAACCCCATCACTCCAGGCTCCGCCTCGATCAATTCCCTAGCTACTTGCTACAGCTGATTGTAAGAGAAGAATTAACTTACCAGATGACCTAAATTTAACCCCAGGGTTAAAAAAGCATGTTTGTAATAAATACTACATGGGGGTCCTTCCGGCACAACATTTGTATGTACCTTTCCTGAAAAACATCGGCTGCAGCGAGAGACAGTGCATGATCATACTTTTTACAGCCAAAAAATAAGAAGACAAGCAAAAAAAATAATACTCTTTTTATGGCCTGAGTTTATAGAAGATACAGCAGGGCTCGAAAAAAAAAGTGAATTCCAGCTGCTTGTCCTTTGGGCCGGCAAGCAGCTCTCACATTCTGCTCGCCCGGAGCCACTTCTTGCTCGTCTTAGTTAATGATTTAATGTTAATTTGAAAAATGTAAAATCGACGCTGTTCAAAAGAATTTTAATCGACGTTTCGTTCAGCATTGCCCAAACGTCGGTTAAGACTCTTTTGAACAGTGTCGATTTTACAATTTTTAAATTAACATTAACTAACTTCGCTGTGTTAGTTAATGATATCTTTAGAGCATGACGTGTCTAGGCCCTTGCCCATTGGGCGGGCAAGTGAGCTTTTAAAGTTATTTGGGATCAATTAAGGGTTTTGGGAAACTACCCACCTACCCCTCCCTTAAGCCAACATTTACACTTACTTATCGCTTAGGACAAAATGTTGGCTCAGAGGAGAGGTAGGTGGGCAGTTTCCCAAAAACCTTAATTGATCCGTTACTTGCCTAGCAAGAAAATCTACTAGTCCAAGACGGGTGTTTTTTTTTTCGAACCCTGCATATAGACTTGAGAAGGCAGGAAAGTCAGTTCTTGAACCAACTAATCTCGCGAGGCAAATGACATGAAGGAAATAATGGTAAGTTTATTTCAAGAACCCTAGACAACATTTCAATAACGTTCTTCCCTTGATATCGCCTTCGTATAGTCCATTCAATTATTGCTTGGTTAAACGTGCCGTTATTATCTTAAAGCACAAACTGTTGAAACATGAGTTAACTTGGTTACCCTGTGGGACGTTCGTATCCACACTGTGATCCCAGTCTAAACTATGAGATGTTCCACGCATGCCTTTCATGGGGGATGGAGAACGGCCTGAAACATAACATTAAATAACATGATTAAAGATATGGTTTTTGTTTATTTACAAACTTCCATTAGTCGTGAGTTGGTCGATATGGCTAGAAAACAATGGCTTAGTGTCATTCTTGTGCAAAACAATAAGCTACATATTAAAGCCGTGATATAGTGATGTGTATTCAGTGATGTTTTTTTTGTTGTTGTGTTATTGTTGCTTGTTTGCTTTTTTTTTGGACGGTAGTGTAAATATGGTTTACCTGTGCTGACGAGAACATCTCTCATGGAGTTAAGCATGTCTTCAAATTCCTCGTTTTCTTCTTCACTGAAAAGCAACATAGGTAACAAGTATTCAGCATATCGGTGTTTTGCGAGGTAAAATTACGTCAGCATAAATAATACTGGTAACTTGCATTTGACATGCGCGAGACAAGGTTATATGAGAATTACTCCATGATGCTAAGCTGTAGTTTTTCAGGGCTTTCTATAACTTATCACGATTTACCTTCCAACATTTAACTCTTCATCTTCCTCATCCTCATCTACTTCCTCTTCATCCAATTCTTCCTCGTCATCCTCGGTCTCTTGTTCATCCACATTCTCCTCATCGACACCTTCTTCGTCTTCATCATCTTCCCCCGGCTCTACTACTGAATTTTCTACATTTCCGGCAGGCACAGTCTCGAATAGCATTCTCAAATTTGGGAGGGAGCACGTTCTTAACCTCTGAAAAAAGTTTCGAACACAGAAGCAAAAATACTTAGGGTGCGTTCGCCTGATCGTATTCCGGAATAAGAATACGCCAAAGTTTTGTTGCAAATCATTTCCCTAGTCTACCGTGATTTTTAGTCCCCTCAAACGCTTTATACATCGGGCCATTTTATTTTAAGCAGATGAAAGGCAAGACGAGTGATTTTCCGAGTTTATTTCTTTTATTCTTATTCTGGAATACGGATCACGCCCTTAGAATAGCGTTAGAAATCTGTTATAGCTTAACTTGTGCGATTAACGTTTTACTGATCAACCCGTTCCCCTCTGAGCGTTAAATTAAACCCCTCATGGAGAACTCTGAAAGTAATGAGAAGACAAGCACATTAAACATTCGAATTTCATAATTAACACATAACAGCCATTCTCAAGTGTAGCTCACCGTGAAATTTGTATCGTAGATTCCTGTTTGCAGCTCTGTCGCTCGCAAAAACCTGTTGGGTGATCCGTCGGCGGTGTGGAATGATCTGAAATTTTATTCAAAACCTTCAATATAGTGCTGCCGGCCCTGGAACCAAAGCACTGTCTGTTACACGAACCAATGCTCGACAAGTAAGCATAGAAATGGTAAAATTCAAGCGAATTTACGAACCAACAACGGCGACGCCTTTGAAACGTCACCGGAAACATGAATTCTCGTCCTCTGCGATTATTCTTACTCATTTAGTTTTTTACTGCGCCTTTCACAAACATGCGAACTCTTAAGTTCAAAAGCCGCTTTCACCAATTGCGTTTTTCGCTGCCGTCAATCATAATTACGATCACAAGCAACGAACCTTGAAACACAGAAACACAAAAAACAGATCGAAATCCACCAATGACAAATCACAAACCATGACCTTTTGAACCCGTTAAAGTAAAGTTTTGTTTCCTAAGAGGTTCGTTAAGATGATTGACGGCAGTGAAAAACGCAATCGACAGTTGGCTATTGAACTTCAGAATTCGCATGTTTGTGAAAAGCGCAGTAAGAGTCACGAAATTTAGTTGTAGATGAAGAGAGGGACCCGGCGCTTCCAAGCGGCTTAGACGCCTTGAGGTTCACGGTAAAGAAAACCGTGACTTTACATTTACTCACGACACCACCACTGCGTCGGCAGCGAAACTGTCAGTGAATATGCGTACTTTCAAACTTCATCTGAATTCAGTTTTTTTAGTGGAGCTTTCGCGTCCGTCGCTGTCCATGCTAAGTACGCTCCCGACCATAATAGGTGACTTGAACGTGACCATAAGGCATTTTCTCCCCTGCGTCCAAGTATCTTGTGTGGGGAGAAGGGAATGAATCATTGGCTGGAGTATTAAATCACTTGATTTAAGACGTTCAAACCAAAACCTCTCTACAGAAAAGAAAGACGTCACTACAAACAACAACGCTGCGTCCTAACCGTGAAAATACTCACAATTCATCAAGTGATACGTCCTGCACTTCAAGATTCTCGGACTCCATTTCTTTCTTGTCTTCTTTACGTTCAACTCGTTCGAACAAAGCTTCCTTGGTCTCTTTTTCTTCCTGCTTATTACGCGAAGCGATCAGAAATTCTTGATAAGCCGCTCTGCTGTCCGATAACGAAGGCTCCTCCCTTGGTTTTGCGGCAGATTTGCCCTCTGATGTACCTTGAACGTAAAAGGGTAAGAATCATAAGGTTTCGAAAGCAAAGCTGCAAATAACTTGCACTAAAATAGTCGTAAATTTTGCAAGCAAATGGAAAAAACAACACCCTCTTGATAGAAAAGGGCTTGTTGATTTGGACAAAAGTTAACGGGAGAACATACTTTCAAAACGAAAGATACCAATGCTGCCACGGCCTAGAATTAAATCTATTACTGCTAAGCTTATCTGGCAGAAAAGTAAGAAACCACGTTGTACAGTACCTATAGCGTGCAGTAACACAGAGAAGTACTGCTCGGTGAGTTTTAGTATCGATCAGCAGTCTTTATTTGAATGGATCATATTTATTTTCATCAGTAGACTAACAAGTAGAGGGTTTAATCAACCGTGTTAAGAGAAGTGGTGGAGGCCACTGTTGTAGGGAAGGTCATTGTTTGTAGAAGTGTCGACATTTGGGGGGTAGCCGTTATACAGATGTCCTACCTTCAGTTGACGTGTTCTCCTTCACCTCACCCCAGGCCTTCAGGGGGCTTTTTGGCGCTGATTTCTCACCTATCGCGGCTTCCGGCAATTTCTCTTCAGTTACATCTTCCACGTCTTCTACACCAATATCATCGGTATTTTCAGTCTCGACAGTGGTGTCTTCTTTGTCGGTCTCTTTAGTTCCCTCTGAAATCGTTTCCAAGGCGACAGCTGTTTTCGTTTCTTCTTCTGGTTTCCCGGATAGCGTTATGGTAGTCTGAGCTTGAGAATTCTCCTCTTTGTTCACGTCAATCTTATCCTTTCTCATAATAACAGTCTTTGGAGAGTCCGAGGTGGAAGACTTAACCACTGTTACTCCTAACTGTGGTGTGACAGTAGGACTTTGTACCGTGACAGTTGTACCCATAGCTGAACCGACCGCAGTACCAAATGACTGCTTGACGACCGGAAGCTGAGCTTTCTTTCCAGCGTCCGGTTCATCAGGACCAATGGTCGTTGTTGCTGTTTGAAGTTGAGCGTTACCCAGAGCAGAAATTATCTGCGTCATTTGCGGTTTTCCCCACTGTTTTCTGGCTGCTTCTACTCCTGGCTTGAATACAGCGTCATTTTGGCTGGTTGCTGCAATAGACAAATTTTAATTATCAGTTACAAAGACAGCCTACGTAACAGTTACCACTCTCTACTAAGGAACATTCTGATGTCTTTAAAAAATAATCTCTAGACCTAGATTTCACTTCTGTTCCCTAGCCGCTAGTCAAATAAAGAGAAGGTTAATAAAATAATGGATCCTATCTGTAACTTATCAATGAAATATACCTAACTATACCTTCCATAGCCGAAGCCGTGACTTCCAATGACAGGAGGCGAGGCTGAAATGGAATATCTCCCCAGGCCTTGCGCGGCGCGAGTGGTTCAACCTTTTCCTCTTCTGTCATTTTGCGAATGTCATTCTGCAATAGTTACAAAATAAAAATGTAGATATTTCCTACAAAAGCCAAGGCAAAACTTCGGCAAAATACCAAATCTCAGTCTTAATTTAATCCGCCTCCATCATTTCCTCGGTTGAAAGGAAAGGAATAGGTGTTTCAGATTCCAGGGTAGGTAAAGCACATTCACCTCGTGATAGATTCAAGCAATTTTTCATGACAGTGACTGACGATCGGCCAAAACATGATTGCAAATTTTTCTTGGAGGGCGTCTAGCGATCAGTGTCAATGAGTAATATAAACCTCAAACTATTGAAGATTGGCTTACCTCAGAATTCGATCTGAACAGTTGGGTAGCTCCAACTTGTTTCAACGCTGTCTCAAGACCAACTGGTGCAACTGCAGGCTTTGGTGCAGGCTCTAAAATGAACAACATAGACTAGGATGTGATCTCACCGATGGAGAAAATGCGAATAAATTCCAAAAACACGACTGCACTAAGTAACATTACTGACACACCTGCAGGTCTCTCATACTTAGCGAGAACTGGAAGTGGCCTGTTAAACAACAAACAGAGCAATGATTTAATGTATCTGTTAGACATCGAGGTGGACCTGAATAGATGGCAGAAATCTCAGTACACTGTTTCTTATATTTGCTTCCTGCAAAAACAAGCCCGTGAGTGAAATGCTAGAAAGGATATTTCCTGGGATTCTAAGGGCCTGTTTACATGGAGTGGGGGACCCCGGTCTAGTGGGGTTGGTTTCTTTCGTTTTCACTCTCTGGGGGACACAAAACAAAAGAAACCTACCCCACTAAACCGGGGTCCCCAACTCCATGTAAACAGGGTCTTACTCTTTTGGTATCCGTATCAAACCCTATAGCGTGACTTGTGACTACCGACATGAATAATCTTACTTTTTAGTTTGATTGTTTTGCAGTACCTTCTGGTATTTTTAAAAAATAAAGTTGAGAATTAATTACTTATCTTTCACCCTGCATGAAAAACTTGACCACTAGAAAGGTTAAAAATTTTTGAATTTCTGTAAAAACGTTTCAACTCTGAATCCTACCTTTTATCTGCATCTTTTCTTTGGTTTTCCTAAAATTAAAAAAAAAGTAGAAATCGAAAACTGTTGCACAAGAGAGCACACTTAAAACAGAACGGACGGTCATGGTTTTGACTCCCATCAGAGGCAAAGCATTCGGTTTGGCCGTTTTTTTCCATCGAGAACGAAACTATTCAGTTAAAATAGTCAACTGCTAAAACACAATAAAAAAATACATCCAAAACTACATAGAAAGTGACAGGAGATTCAATAAGAGGACAAAAAAATATAAAACCTTTTCAAGCTTTTCTTTTCCTTCTTGGTTAATTCTCTGCAAAATCGCCTTCTTTCTTTCTTCCAGCTGAGCTCGCAACAGAGCAGCTCGTTCCTCTGCCTGAGCCTTGAGATAAAAAAGAGATAAACAAATGGGAAGGAAAGACGATGAGAAATGAGAAAAGTGCAAAATGAAAAATGGACGGGAACACAACGATCACCTGGCTCTAAAAACGTGCCAAATATAGTGAAAGCTGTTTTAGTTTGGTGGAGGGACACCATTGGGACCCAGTCCCTACTCCAGTTAATACAGGACCAATTTAAAGAAAGATACTGGAATATTGGGTGCGACTCAATGACGCACGCGACCACTTAACACAGGGTGTCCTCTTAACACAGGTTCAAGTGTAGAACTTACAAGCCAGCCGGTCAGTCAAGCCGTTTTAAGTGGCGGTACATGTGAGAGGGAAAGAAGGGGGCTCCGTGAGGGTGGAGCCAACACTCCGTTATTTTCAGTACTCCATTTGCTCAGTTTTCCTCTGCTTTCACACTTAAAGGTGGCCTCTATCTGTACGAGAAATACTGAGCGCTGGTTCGCCCGCAAAATCGGCTGTACTGCAGGCGAGCCTAAAGGTTGTTTTACCTTCAGATCGGCGATTTTCTTTTTCCTAGCGTCAGGATCATAGCGTGGATCACCTTGAATCATTACATTCTCCTTCTGCAAGAAAAACAAAATCACCAACTTGTCCATGATAACACCGTGCGGATTAGGTGTTATGCACACATTATTTTCGCGTTTCGTCTCCAAGTTTGTCGCAACATCGCCAGCGAGGAAAAAATAGTTGTTTAATTAACACTTCAAATTTTGGATCTTAAACGGTGGCGAACTTTTCTCCATACAAAAAAATGAAAAAGAGAAGTGTACAAAAAAAGTCTGAAAAGAGGAAAGGCTCCGGCATCATGTGTAATGATTTTGTTAGGAAAGGGATGTAACATCAAAAGTGAATCAAAATTAGTCCGGTCTTGTTAAAGTTTAGAAGGACTGGGTGTTCAATGGGCAAAATCCAAGAATACACCCGCCTGATCTACGGCAAACCAGCAGCTCAAATGGCCCCCACTAAGACACTAATGAAAAGAATTACCAGAAGAGAGCCGTCTCGCCTAGGCATGTCTTAAAACAAAGGGTACTTGGATACCGAAAACTGAGAAGGTGTTAACTGCATAGTCAAGTGAATTGTAACAAACAACATTTGATCGGTGGCTGGTGATAAAACAAACAAAAAATAAAAAAAAAGAGAGAGAGAAAGAAAGAAAGAAAGACGAGGAAAAAAGACTTAAGCCTCACAATAAAAAAATAAATAAATAACTAGTGTGTGATGGCCAACAAGGCAACTTCCATGGAACAGAAAATAAAGAAAACCTCACAAAATGATGTAGAACCTGAGCGGAGGGAGTCACGGGAGCTCGTACGCCTGCCATTCGTCTTTGTATTTCTTTTCGTTCTTGGAAATTTTGACGCCTAATGGCTTCCAAACGTGCAAGATACTCCTGAAAAAAGCAAATAAGAGAATCTGTAATTATAAAATGAAAACAAAAGAAGAAGAACGATAACTGTCTGTCAATACTGATATCAGATCTCGAGAATTCTTTCAAGTTACTACCTTTTCTTGTGCATCCTTTGCTGAAATAGCACCTTTTGGACGAGCAATATTGGCTGCAAACATAAATAATGGAATTAGCGTAGGGTACTTTCATAGTTTGCCACCGAAAGAAAGGTACAGTTTGAGGTATCGAAAAAAAATATGTAACTGTCCGACAAAGATCGCTTAAAGTTCCACACAACCAGGGAAAGCGTTTGCACATTCCAGTCACTGAGATACAAACAGCAATCCTACAATCGAACAACAATTGCTCTCTATATCACCAAATATTCTTAAGAAATTCCGCTATTTTCGCGTTTCAGAAAAAAACGTTAGCGATAATTACTACCCTGTGGTTCAGGCTACCCACTGTAATTTTTTAAACTCAAAATGCAAAAATTTTACGCTTAAATGCTTTCCTACACTGGCAGCTTTTCATCCAGTGAGATAAAAACGAAAGTTAGTCATGACCCAGTGCCCTGCGGGTATTTTCTGTGGTTGGCAGATGTATAAATCTTGACCGGACGTAACGTAAAACCCAGTCAAACCTTTATCTAACGCCAAACTTAAAAAGTTACGCTTCGTTTTATGTAACTGGATTCAGATGTTTCTTTAGACTTAAACCTTTTTTTCCTTTCACGCATTGTCTGAAAGGATTACCAATTGTGATATCTTCAAATAAGTGAGCAAAACACATATCCCATACGTGTCAAAACAAAGCAAAGCACTGAACATCACGTACAGCAACAACTTCAACATTTCTACACCAACCTGGTGGGTAATGATCGGGAAGGACATTAAAATTCTGAAAGAAAACAAAAACGGGAATGAAAAATAATCAGTGGGTATTTGAAAAAGGCTTGCTTACAACGGCGCTTTTTGCTGCGATTGCAGGAACAATCGGTTACAGTAAAATCGCGCGTGTATTATTGCAGTTTTCCAATATTTATGCAGCTTAGAACGAACACGCACCTTGGCAACTGCCCCAAAGACATCAGACAGTCGCAAGAAAACCTCCCTAAAAATCGCAACCAAAGTGTATTACCATGCACAATAGAGTAAAAATACCAACAGAAATCATGCTGCAGACGGCCTTTTCAATCGCAAGAAAATCGTTCAATATGAAAGGGAATTTGTTTTACCTGTCCCCTTGCTTTATTCCTATGAGCGGCTCTTTTTCTGTTCCAGAACTCTTCTAACAAACGAGCTCTCTCCGCTGCACCAGCGGCTTGGGCTCTACACAAATCCAAACAAAAAAAATCGATTTTTTCACAGTTTATTCCAATGCAACACATTTTTGTCAAAGTTTTCCCTGACGCGTCCCCAAGCAGCAATAGCGAAGGATCCTGGGACGGACGGCGAAGTAAATCTTCAGTTTATATCAACAACACATGCAGTGAAACAAAAAACTGCCAAAGAACTATCTTTTTAGGTTTTGTTCATACATTCACACCTACCCAAGACTGAGGAGACGAACTGACTGACTGAGAAGACTGATGCATGGCAAATTAACCCATTTTTACCCCTTTACCTGTCTACTTCACCCTGCTTAGCTGCATTCCAGGCCAAGTTAGCAGGTCGAGCAGGTGGTGCCCTGTTCGCGTCATTTGCCGAAACAGGCCTACCAGCCACCTTCACAGCCGGTTGTCGATGCCTTTCGTCTGCTGACACTGGTCGGGCTGGTTTGTTCTCTTTCGATTCCTGGTCGTCTATTTTTCCCTGATATTTTTGCATCACCTGTGGCTCCTTTTTCTACGAGAAATAAATTAGAAAAACAATCACAGCTTTTTGCCGCGAGATTTTGCCCTTTTTTGCCGTGCACTTTGCGACTAGAAATACATCTCTCGCAAAACCTCGCAACTCTCGGAGCGATAAAGAACCACCCTATAGTCTGCGTTGTAGACTGACTAATCACTCGAGACCTAAAGTGTGCCGTGTAGTTTGGATGCGTATTAGCTGGCTTCTATAGCCCAATAAATTCCGCTCAGTTTGCCATTCATATTTAATCCAATAATAATTTCTGTTCTCTTGAAAAAGCGTTGTTTCAATAGTTAACTCTCACTGAAGATGACTGTCACTTCACTTCTTTTTGTCTTAATTCAAAAACCTATTTGTTTTAATTCCCTTACGTACAATGCTGATTACTTACAACTATTTCCTGTTGGTTTGGCTTCACGGCAGCAGAGGGATCCGCTGATGGCTTTTTCTCCTTCTACAAAGCAGAAACAATAAATGAACACCAATTAACTCCAGTACTTCAGATCAGTTTACTCTGTTCCAAATAGTAATAATAAAGTAATATTTGATGCAAGCAGCTTATTATTTTAATATTATGGACTAGGTAATTGCACGCTAATTGGTCCTAATCAAGACCACACTCACCCATGCAGACCATCATATTCAACCTCTTCTTAACCGATTAATTTCCCTGCATACCAGTACGGGAACGAGAAGAATTTCTTAAGATATTCTCACTGTGACAGTTAACTCTCTTTTTATTGCCACAAAACTATTTTACATTCTATTGGACCAAGAAAAGAACCCCCTGAAATAGCGAGTGGAGGGAACGCAAGGACTTGCCTTCTTACTGAGAACAAGAAGAAAAAAACTATTTGGCCAGAAAAGTGCATTTTGATATAAATTGATAAAATGCAAGGGCAGTAAATGGAATACTAGTACTTTAAGTTATATGAAGACAGCAATTTATATTGTAATACGTTTTGAATTCTTTATAATACAGTTATGATTACTTTTACGCATCCTCTGAGAATCTGAAGTATCCAATCAGTACGTACGGGATATCCACGGGCAAAAGACAAAGTTTGAGGCAAGAACGGAAGAGTCACTTGTCACTAGCTTCTGCGAGCCAGATTTTCAACTTGAAAATAACCCTGCTTCCGATTGGCCAGAAATCTGACCAATCATATATAGAGATTGAAAAGCTTCTGGAACTGCGGCCCGGTAGGAATTTAGAGTCCAGGGATTCCCTTACTTCTTGCCATATACTTTGCCCTTCACCCGTAAATAAACTCTCCCGATTGGCTGCTTCACCCGTAAATACACTGTCCTGATTGGCTGCTTCCGGGTCTCATCGAGCATTTAGTTGATACTTTACTTGCATGTTATATGAATTTAAACACAGTTACAAGCGATAACCTTAATGTAATTTACTGTTGTTTACAGGTTAAAGGCAAGGCAAATTTATTTTACACGAGTTAATAGACAGCTTTTGTTATTGACGTTAATCCCCATTAGTTTCAAAAGTGGCTGCACTTGTTACTTCAAGGAAAGTTTATAGATTAGTTTGCAGTCATATCTGGTTGGTACTGAGAGTTCAAAAACGTCTCACATCAAGTGCAATCATACCCGGTGAGAGGAAAGTGCGGCTTCTTGAATTAGCAGAATCAAGTCAATCAATTGAGCACAGGTATTAAGAACAAAACCAGAGTGAAGACAAAAGTCTTGGAGCTTAAACAGGCATGCTGGGATATCAAAATCCTGAAAATAAGATATTTCACTCAAACGTCACTGATAAATGTGTTCACGAATGACTAAATTATGAACGAATGTTTTTGCAGACTATAGTGTGGTAGTTCTTTGTCGCACACCCTCTAATCATTTTTACAAATTTCTGTAACGTCAGTCTCCCAATCTCTCAAGAGAATGCATTGCACTGAGTTTTCAGTGCATATTTCTGTTTTACTTAGTGACGACATTTCATATGAGTGTAGTGTAAGTAGGTTGAATATGATTGTCCGGTGAATGGAGTTCCGAATAAGGACTGTTGATAGTGACAGTGACTGACATTTGTTGTGACAAATGATTGCTTATACACCATATCTCTCACCACTTAAGTGTGTATTGTATTGCGTAAATCTGTAAGTTGCAGCAAGTCTAAACGGACAAGCTCATGCTTACCTATGACATACATTGTTACCAAAATTTTAAAAATATTTACAAGTTGACTTATTTTTTATTCGTTGACTCGTTAAACGTTTATTCTTTTTCACCTTTTTATTCTTCATAAAAGACATTACTGAATCATGCATTCTAAGAAAAGTTGGGTCAAGTTAGGTTACTATATCAGATGTACATGTATTGTTGGCAGTTTGAAAGTCTGACTGGCTTAATTCAGTTGTTTAAAGCTGGATAGTGTTATGTGTGTGTGTGTATTCTGCCCACAGGCAGGTGCCTCCTTATAGTTCTCGATCTAAGGCGAGCCTCTTGACTGCTACGTAAGGACGGTCACTCTACTCTTTCCAGCAGGTCTTCCAGGTGGTATCTTTCCTATTATTCTCCCCTCAATAATTTATTGGACAAGATCACCATGCGGTAGGGTATGAGCAAGCCAGATTCTCTGTCTTCTGTTGATAACAGATATGATGGCTCTTTCCTCACCGACACGCCTCAATACCTCATCGTTACAGATGTCATACCAAGTGATCAGATGTTTAAGACCTTTCTCCACAGCCACATCTCACAGTTCTCCAGCCTACGCGCGCGTTATGCAGTGTTATGTAGGGGAGAAATATCTTTCCGGTACTTAATGGAATAAATGGTTTCCAGTATTATTTATCTACTCGGTAATGGTTTATCGCATCGGATAGGAAATGACATTTATTTCTATACATAAAGTGACAACAGATCTCTGCAGTGTCGTAGATATGAGTGGCTAACATTACCTTAGATTTAGTACAAACATATCAATGTAATATGGCTTACTGCATAATTATATAACATTACCTTATAGAGAACCTAGGTTAAAAAATCAAACCTAGGTTAAATCAAAATTAATCTTAAATCAAATTTGACCAGTAACATTTACACGCCCAAACATACGTTTTAGTTTCTTTTCTTTGCTTTTCGGAGAACCTTCAGTTTCTTAAGGTTTTGCGAGAAAAATGGAATGCGAGTGTACACTGACCTACACCGTACATTCAGGGATTCAAACTAACGTTTCATCTCAACCAGAACCTAATATCTACACAGTGTACATTAAATAATAAATAATAATTATTACCTCAGGGCTGAGTCCCACACTGAGCGTATTCTTCCAAGCTTGTTCCCTTGCTCTATTGATCTGTTCACGCTGATGACAAGCAAGTGATTCATAAGTTCTGTTAGGCCTCTATTTATTAAGTACAATCATTAGGACAATATTTAAATAGCTTGCCAGCGCGAACAAGCACTTTACTCCGGCATCTCCTTTCAAATGCTGCTTACGCTTGACTTCTCACGATTTCCTCAAATGGAGAGCGTACTCGGAGACTAATATTTACCAAGCAAGAGTAAACGCTTAAAAAAGACAAACAGAATGTTAGAAACAGTGGACCTAAGAACATTATAAGTGTACACCACTCATTGATTCATGATGATAATTATCCGGATTAGACTCAGGTTATTTCAGTAGTAAAGTGCTGTGCCTCGTTCCAGTACCTGTTGACGCTCCCATCTCTGTTGTTGAACTTTTTTCATATAATCCTGGTACATTTGTTCCTAAAAACGAAAAATAAACACGTTTCATCAAAATTTCTTCAATTAATGCAACAACTTTGAAGTCTAACTTTAGTAAAAGTTGAAAGGTCGCAAGATAGAAAAAAATTATGTTGAAACCAAGAATTTATAAAGTAATCAAACCTGGTTTTGCATCATTTCCTTGCGTCTTCTCTCACGAGCATCAGGTTCTTTCTTTTTGTCATTAGCAGGTTTGTCTTGTGCTGCATTGCTCGGTTTTGAAGGTTTTTTCACTGCCTCTCCTGAGCTGGGCCTCCTGTAAAAGAATTTTGAGCAATCAGTTAAAGAATTTTAGCCATGGAGGTAGTGCCTTTACATGTGCATGTTTTAAATATTTACCTACAACATTTGTTTATTTTTCATGATATGTTTGTTTTTACTTAAAAAAGTGTTGAGAAAGAAATATCCCTGATTTGTTATTATTTGAGTAGCTGGTGCTTCTGTGGAAACTGTACCAAACAACATAAATGCAACAACAATGACGGTAACATTTATAACCAAGATTCCAAAATATTGTAACCAGTTTACATTTTGACTGGAAAATTTGAAATTAAAAATTCAAATATTCATCTGAAAGTGCAATCTACAGTGTGCATGCATTTCACATTTTACCCCTCCCCCCACAAAATGTCCTGCGGAACAACTGTTCAAATTACAGGCAGCAGTAGGGATATAAAGTGAGTGAAAAATAGTGTTTGCAGTCCAGCAATTTAATAATAAACCTTTCCACTCTTTACAGGGACAAAACTCAACAAAAAAGAAATTAAAACCAGCTTCTGACAATATTACTAAACCCAGTAACTAATAATATTACTATGACACATGCACAGCACATCAAGCTAAATAATCATTAGATTCTTACTTTGGAGGTGCTTGCTTTTTCTTTGCAACAGATACTCCATACTTTGCTTTTGGATCACTATACTTTTGTGGTGCTAAAAAAACAAGGGAGTCAGTGTAATCATTATTAATATTAGTGTTGTACATCATCTTAATACCTCCTTTAAAAGTAATGTTAAAGCATCTTTCTGTAGCGATTGAATGCCCCTCTACATGATTTTATTGCCACTGAAAAAACCTTTCAGCTAGAAACTGTAATGGTGCGAGTACTACAGCTGGGGCCACCTAGACAAATTTGACCAATTGGTTTACTGGAAAATAACAATACATTCCGAGAAAGTCAGTTGTCAATCATAATCGAAATAAACAGTTCACGGATCAAAATCAACCAATTACAACCTACAGACATGACCTTTGAACCCACTGAAGAAGGCCTGTGTTTCCATCAGAGTTAATACCGCAGGCAAAAAACAAAAATGTTACATGTAGTGACAGTACATTTTTGACTTGAGGTTCTGATGTCAAATTGCTGGTAGATGACAAAATAACAGCTTAGGTCAAACAAATTTGTCTCCTAGGTTTTATGTGTAAAGTTTTGCATACATGACTGTACAAAAACATTGTCTGTTGAAACACTTTACTTTCTTGAAAAACGTTTGCTTTGCTTTGAGTAACTTATTGTTTTTTCTTGTTGTTGTTGCTTTGCTTTTTGGAAGCTGCTGATTGGCCCACAACTAACTTTATTGGAATAATTGTTATTTTCCTCTAATCTGATTGGCCAGCTTTGGACCGTAAGTATCCATAATAATATTAACTTAATAATGATTACTAACCAGGAGCTGGTTTAACAGGTTTAGGTGGAATTCTTTGCTGACCAAACACTCTCAGTGGCTTGCGATGAATCACAGTATGGCTGAACTCTTCTGCCATAACCTAAAATAAGTTCACCAGTCAAATGACTTAAGACTAATAAAATCTCTTAGCTTTGCAACAGCCTCGAAACCCTCTTACCAAAAATTTGTGCATACGTGTATGTTATGGCTAAAACGTTCTTTGATTTCAACACACCACCTTCCCTTTGTTTGTTTTGTTTTCCTTTGTGCTAAAAACATCCAGCTTACTACTGGATAGTACCCATACTGTCAGTGACAACCCCACCAGTGTTTAAGGGCACTAGTTACTATGAAGGGACAATGTAAGGAATGAGAATGCAATATTACATGTAAATTATAAACTTTTCATTATCATACCTCTTCAGATAAGAATTTTTCAATCCTTTTTTGTATGAATGGTTTCTTTAGAATTGAGTTGACAGAAGGACGGTCACTGCAGAACAGAGACAATCATCATCACAATGGCCACGTCTCCTTTGTGTGCCATACCTTGGATCCACAATTGCGTATGAGCAGTTCACACTGTATTGCTTTATATGCAATTGTGAAGCCAAAGTAAACACAGTAAGTGATATCAAAGAAAGAAAAAAATGAAAACAAACAAATGATAAACAGAAATCTACATCATTTCAGGAGCCCATCAAATGGAGCCTTCATCTCCCAAACAAGCCCTTGGAGCCAGCCCTTTCCCGAGTAGACTTATAATTAGAACGGTTCCTGGGGGAGACTTCGCACGCCGACGGTAGGAAGAGCCAATCACAACGACAAAATGACACTGCTATTGTACTTCATCAAACAACAGGAAATTCGGTGTTGACAGGCCAGACACAATGATAAGCTAGTGAAACGTGACTTTAGTGTTTTCATCCCTCAGAGATTTCTTCCTTTTCTTTCTAGCCGGTGGATTACATTGTGGAGAGTTTTAAACTCTGACTATGTTAATCTTTATTTTGGTTGCTTGTCTCACATTAATAAGAGGCCATGAAGCTACCTGCAGTCTGAAGTTCTGACAGGATTCGTTTTCTTTAGCCAATTTTTTTAAGCGTTAAGGTTATTATTTCGGCTAAATGACTCAATATTAATCAAATTTCTAGTTTTCTAAGGTTTTTTTTCCGAAATGCCTTTATCTGAAAAAATACTTGTAGTCCTTGTGGTTGTTTTGTCCGTCAGCTTGTGTGATGATTCCTTGCTATGTTTTGTAACGCCGGGCCCAGCCATTGTTTTCTCACAAAAAAGTGACCTACAGATGCGAATTCGAAGGAAAGAATTGAGCCTAAACTTCTACATTAACTGCTGAGAATTGTCCTGTTAGTCAGTCATAATCCTTTTGTTGCAGATACAATCCATTTTGTTTTTCTTGAGATAAGTGCGTGTTTGGACTGGAGCACGATGTCACAAATTCCTCCGTTCGCAAATTACTTTTGAGTTAGCTTCACGGTCGAGCAACTGTTCTCTTCTGTTCAACTTTTCAAGTGCCAGTTTTATCAGGCAACTCTCATGGTGATACGAGTCAGTTGTAAAGGAAGACTGCAATTTCTCAAATTTCGGAAATAAAGCATTTCTCGTTAGTTGCTACTTAGTTCATCGCTTTTGCATGCGGAAATCCACTGGGAATCCACTCCAAGGTGATGACAAAAATCAAATCATGATCCTCGCACTTTTTCGGCACTGATCATCGAAAAGTTCCAAATCGTCCACAGAACGCTTAATCATCGACTCTTTTCGAAGCGGATGCTAACACGTGGAATGTATGACGACAAATAAAAACACTGGCAAAGATAACCTTTCACTGATCCTCAGTTCACTCTTTGTCCCATCGCTTGATGCTCAGTCTCATTCGGGTAATTCATTAACTTGTATTTCATGATACCTAGATCCCAGAGGCTGTAAAATCATAAAATGGATGTATAGTAAAAAGGAAAACCGTCGAAGGACGGGCTTCTGAGTTTGACTTCATCCAACTTCATTTTTTTCATGGTGACATACGAGACTCACGGAAATATGATACTTTTCGCGGGAAACAAGCCGTTCTATTTATAAATCTACTCGGGAAAGGGTTGACTCAAGAAATTAATGGAGATGGAGGCTTCATTTGATGGGCTCCTGATCGTTTCCATTATCTTACTGAGCATTTCGTTTCAGCATCTGTGCAACCAGTCCTCTGATATCAGCACTATACTTGTAAGGGATGGGTGGGTATGATCCCCTGGTGAGAAATTGAACAAGCATTTGAGCAAGGCTGCATTGTACATGTACAACATCTTGAATTCTTGATAGGACTTTAACTCATTACATGTAGCATATTATTACATAAGTCAAAATCAGCATGTATACGCAATAGACCTTTTTACTGATATTAGTTAGATTTAAGGAGTATTATGGGATGCCCAGTGGGCATGAGCCCACTCCGATATATTCACTTAGTATTAACACGCGCCTTTCAGGCTATTATTTTTTTCTTAAAGTTTTCCTAGAATAGATTGTAATGGGAAAAAAAAATCGTTGCGCAGTGTTTCGTAATAATGACCGCCTTTTTCCCACGAAATATACAGTGACAAACCATATTTCTAATGCTAAGCGAGTATAATGGATCTTGCTTATGCCCCCTGGGCATCCCATGATACTCCTTAAAGTGAATTAAATCAATATGGCTGCTGTATTGGTAAAAAGGACTATTAAATGCCATGCAATCATAACACACAAGTGTCATTGAAGTAGTTTTAGTTCAAAATAATTCTTCAATTGATGTTTTTAGTTCATGAATAACAATGTCAGTTTCCTTAGTCTCCTAATCTAAATTATCTATGATTATGAATAATTAGGTTTAGGCATATATACATGAAGCAGAGATTCCAACCTTCCCGTTTTGGCAGGAATTTACCTCCTGTTTTCGGCAATACATTCGAGACTCCTGTTCTCACTTACTATTCTCCTGGTTTTTGAAACTCTTCCTAGCCAAAGAAAGATAATGTTTCTTTGATTAACCAGTCTTTCTAGCACGATTCTTTGGCATTTTCACTGGTTTCTCAACCATTTTTACCCTTTTGTCATCCAAGCATGAGCCTGTGATAATTTTAGGCACAGCATTTCCCTTGACTGCGATCTCAAAATCCAGGAAATGGAATCTTAGAGGTATATATCTTGAAATTTTTCCCAGGGGAATATGCCCCTGGACTCCCCTAGAGGATCAAGCCTTCAGCACTGGTAGCCGCTCCAAAAACCTCCCTTTATTTAGTTGACAGGATTGGAATCTCTGGTGAAGTGTATTCACAATCAAAATTCACTTGATAATCAGATTATTATTTAGGAATTCCACTAAACCATGTAAAAGTGAATGGACTAGTGGAAATATACAGCCTTACCTTATAATTTTCAAAACTAAGTTCTTCATATTTCCAGCTTCAAACTGTGATAAAAAGATGAAAATAATATTACACAAAGGCTCAAAGCTTAGGCCACAAGGCATAATTTATGTCAACTGGTATCACGGTAGTATTTGACAATGATGAAACTGGCCAGTTAAATAGTGCACATCTTAGATAGTTCGTACGTGCATAATTATGTTTTATTGAATGGTTAAAACTGTCTTTCTTTCATTTCAAAAATAACACACCACTTTCATTTTGTTTGTTTTGTTTTCCTTTTTGCTAACAGCATACAACTTACTATAGAACACTTGTTGTCAGGACAACCCCACAAGTATTATACAGCAGTATTAAAATAACTAACATTAATTTTAGTCATGAAGGGACAGACATGTTTTAATCACACCCAATAGGGCCATTTTAATATACGAGGAAAAATAAGTGCGTCTTACATAAGACGCGTCTTAAATAAGACGCGAACTTTCCGTATAAACGGCACATTTCGTCTAAAATAAGACGCGGCTTAGCTAAGACGCGTCTTATTAGATAAGACATGCTCGTATAAATGGTACAGTTCGCTTCTTATTTAAGACGCGTCTTATGTAAGACACGTCTTATTTTTCCTCGTATAAATGGCCCTAATGTCATAAATACATAAGTGTACAAATACATGCAAGAGAGAGTACTAGGCTAGCCCATGTAGCTACCAAGAATATTACTATGAACTCTCCATTTTCAAAGTGAATATATTTAAGACAATTCATTTCTTTGGTTAGCTTTTGAATGAATGGTATATGAAAATGCTTAGTGTGTTAAGAATGTGCACCTCCCAAGCAAAAACATTACCTACAAGTGTATAATGTTACAGGTCAAAATTGATTCTCAACTTCCTTTGTCTCCTAAACCTAATTCATCAATAATAAATATTAAAGCTAGGACACAAAGGATATTGAGAATCAACCTAGGTTACAAAAAATTTTAATGGCAACCTGAATTTAATTTTGACCTGTAAAACATATACAATTATTACAAGTACATGAACTAAGTTTACTCAGGATTGAGACTCTGAAGTTTATTTAGGTGAGTCTCTATGAAAAGATTGACTCAGCACAGTTACAAAAAAAAATTCGTTAATGATAAATGAAATTACTTACAGCATGTTTTAAAGTCAGCAATTCATATAGGACACATCCAAGAGACCAAATGTCACTGAAAAATAAAACATCAAAATAACTTACGGCTGCCATTTGCGAGTGTGGCAAGTCTTGATGGTAACTTACAGTTACAACGAAAAAGGCACGAGCATCTACCTTTTATTATTGTAAGGTCTGTTCTCACATATTTCTGGAGACAAGTAATAAGGGGTACCAATGCAGGTGCGAGCTAGTTCCATAGTACTGCGGACAAACAAGATATCAAAAGCATACCAAGAATTGAAACAAATACAATCAATCACACTCTGACTACATACAGTATACCAGTGTATAGCAGCTGAGCATTATTAGGACAGTTTCGTCAACCATTTAAACAAAATCACTTTTTAGGGAAGGTGGCTGGAAAGATTGATTGCCAAAAGAACTTTGTGTTGTACAATGGGACAATTCACAGTTTCGATCAAGAAAAGAAATAGTTGGGTAACAGAGTTATTCAAGTTACATTGTTTGTGATGAATTTAGCAAAAAGACCAGGAAGATTTCATGGCTTTATATACGTACATGTATACATGCCAAAATTAGTCTGAGGAGCTAAGAATGCTCAAACGGGTAAAGGCAACATATTGAATTTAGTCCATAAAAATATAATCATACTGTACCTGTGTAAAACTCTTGCAATTCCAAAATCTCCTAACTTCACAATTCCATTCTTTGTTAAGAATATGTTCTGAAACAGAGCATCCATTTACAAGTTAGAATTTTCTAATTTCCATACACGCAGGATAATCCATGCCACGAAAAAATAAAATTCAAAGCATACCTGAGATTTTAAATCCCGATGAAGTATCTTTCTATCATGAACATGTTTCAGTGCCAAGCATATCTGTACAAAGTAGTCTAAAACCTGCAAAAAGAGAATGTACAGTGCGTTATTGAAGGCCATTCACCATTTCTTAAAAGTACATAAATACAAGTAAATCATAGCAGAAATGCACAAATCTGAGGCCATGCTTTTGAAGTGGTTCAAAATACTCAGAGCACGTGTCAAGACCAGTAAAATTATGATACTTTGATCACATTAAACTTGCTAAGACACAACTGTTCATGTTTTAAACATTTGCATTAACTTATTACTCCTTACCTGTTCCTCTGACATCTGAATTCCACGTTGGTTGTTAATTCTCTTATACAAGTCTCCTATAAAAAAGGCAAATTATGTTTGGTAGATAAAGTGAGCTACATAAGGAAGCTAGAAATTTTGAGCTGACGGTGTGCATGTAGCAGCCAGCATAAATAGGGCTTAAAAAATATCTGGCCTGCTTGTACATAACAGGACAAGTAGATTTTCCTCCTGAGCAAGTATTAAACTGTTCACTGTCACTTTGTAAACAAGCAAGGCCCATTAACTCCTTTGCTGTGCTCTAGGAAAAATTGGAGGAAGCCCAATGCTCTGAACCTGTACAACCACTGTGCAGCCTATGGCGCTTAGCAATGAAAAGTATAGGCGCTATATAAATATTTTCTATTATTATTTTATTAGCCTATCCACTGTGTCCATTCAATTCCAACAGCAAGGTGCCAGGAGCCACTGGGTGCTGCTAGAGCACAGTGCTGAACTCATCTTCCAACTATGTGTAAACATAACTAAGCCTGGTATGCAAAAGTTGCCAACCGCTACTTGTCTGAAGTAAGTGGTATGCATGCAATTTGATGCTTCTCTCTTATTATTATCAAGTTTTACTGATCATACAGTCATAATAATACCTGATTCACAATAGTCCATGGCAATATAAAGATTTCCATTCTCTGGAGAAAACATGAAAAAGCAGACAAAGATTATAACATCCTGCACCTGAACTCAAAAAATTAATCTACAGGTAGGTTCTGATGAGTGAGTTTTCAGTGTACAGCTATAAGTGCTTTCCAGTAATTTTGCAAGTTACTGGCATTTTTTGATGACCAAGATTTGAGTGGCAAAAAGGAATGATTTGGTGAGAGTTTTAAAAACATAGAGTCTACACTGTATACAGAGAGACTGCCACTCACTTTGTATGTGACAGAGCTAAACATTGATAAAGTTCGCTTTTTTCTCACTCTGGTACTTTAAATATAGTTTCACAATACTGGCATAAACTTTGTGTTTATTTGTACCATAGCCATCTCTTACATGACAGTACTTCTTGTATTTTGTCCATTCGTCAAATAATTCAACTAAATCTTTCTCATTTTTAGTGGCCTGGCCTCAGTTGATCAAATGTTGGATAAATCACTATCCAGTGGATAAGTATTGGGAGAAACAATTATTATGTTATGCGCTGGATAGAAATTTATCAAGTGGACAGCATTGTCAACCCTTTCAACCCTTTGAACAACTGGGGCTATAACGTTTCTGACAAGTGTTACTTTATCCCAAAATGAAGAGCAAATCACATTTATTATTATTTTTTGCATTGTGAGAGCAATAACTAATGTCAAACACCTGGGATTAAGTTTCGTCCTCATTTCCTCTCCACATCTCCATCCTTACTTTATAAAATTTTCATGCACAAAATTTTGGCATGCTCCTCTATCCCTACGGAAATTATGGAGTACTTATGGTATAGGCTACAGATGATGATGACTTTAAACTTGGGCTGCCCCAAAATGTGCTTGCATTGGTCTTACCTTCAAATGATTCTTGATATGATACAATGTTAGGGTGTTTTAACTGGGCTAACACCTTCACCTAGAACAAAACAAATAATTACAAAATTCAGAGAACAAAAAGCTTGTGAATATCTAGATACACTACAGATCCTGAGTGACAGTGGCCCTTTCTCTCATCACATGGGTCATTTTTTTGCAATTAGCTAGATAATTGTGAGACAGATGGGATATACAGTACTTTTTTTAACTGTTACGTGTAGCTGACGAAAAGGTAGTTAGGGTGGGAGAGGCGCCGTTCTTTTCAGTAAAAGCACCATTGGATGCAATAATGCAGAGTGCTTTCACTCAAACAATAATTATTATGACCATAAGTTCAGCCCAGAAAGATAATCAGCCATATTGATTTATGGAATTATGATGCCCTAAATAATATATAAGACCAAATTTCCGTGACCCAACTGTAAATTGACAAATCTTTCTAGCAATCATACTACATGTAATCAAAAGTGATGAAAAATACCAACACATATTATAGCAGGTACTAATATTACCAGCAGGTTGAAGTTAATAAACAGAACTACGATGAAACCTGGCAGTGTAAACTGAACACAATGGGTGACTGGAACTTTCACTGTGAGTAAATATCATTAACTGTGACAGTCCCCATGCAAAATCAGTTCTAGCAGTCTTATCAATTGGATCTTTTTTTAATAAAATCTAGACGCGCACACTTTCATCTGCTTATACAAGCTAACCTCACGAATCAAAAATACAGCAGCCGCACGTACTTAACAATGTACATACACTGTATGCACAGATTTGTTTCATTAGCTTTATAAATGACGTTCACACAAAGAACAACAGCAAGAAATTCACCTCTCTTCTGGATTCCTCCCTCTCTTTCGGAGACATCTGCACACCAAGATAAAATTTAAAAAAGCTTTAAAAGGAAGCCGCGGTCGCCATGTTACTGCTACTGTTACTGTTACTGCTTTGAACATGTTTTAAGTAAGAAATAATCTGAATCATTATTTATACGGAAAAAGTAGGATATTAAGTTTAAGACTGACACACCTTGGAAATACTGATCTCCTTAATGACGTACTGTTTTCCATCGCTCTTCTTTTTCACCAATAACGCTTTTCCAAATGACCCTTCGCCGATTTTCTTCACCCGTACGTACCGATCCATCACTTCCGCTTGTGAGGAGGTCCAAACGTCTACTTTCCTCCAGTGAGCACTAACCTTTCCTCCATATCTATAATGATGGGCTGAAACTAGAGTTATGGTAGTTCCTCCGTTGCTAATACAACGTAACGAAGGAAAAAGTTTGTAAAATGGCGCCCGAAAAGAGAATTCTCGTTACTTGTGAGCCTGCGAGACAGAAAGATTAGACAGCGGCTTTTCATTGATCATGCGTACATGTGGTTAGAAAGATGATTTTGGACTGGACTATTCGATCAAGGATAATAATATAATAATAATAATATTTATTGATTTGTATCGCGCAAATATCAATCCAGGGAAAGAAATTTTCATCTGCGCATAACATTGGCGCAACAAAATCCTAAAATCCTAGTACATATTCCAAAAAACAAAATTTACAGATCGTTCCTAAAAATTAGTAAAAATAACACTTAAAAATGAAAATTAATCTTTAAAATCCTATATACAAATCCTTCTAAATAAAGAGAATAAAAAACAATAAATTAGCTGGGAAACGCCTTCTGAAATAAATGAGTTTTAAGAGCCTTCTTGAAAGCATTAACTGAAGATATATTTCTAATAAAAAGGGGAAGATCGTTCCATAATTTAGGGGCAGCCATATAAAAAGATCGATCACCAAGCGTGGAAAGAGACATGCATGGTGGAATGTTAAGAAGTTTGCCGTTATTTGATCTAAGATAGTACCTACCCCCTGTGTCTTTCTGTGATACAAGTTCGGAAATGTAAGTCGGAGCAAGTTTATGAATGGCCTTAAAAGTTAACAATAAAATTTTAAAAACAATTCGATATGCTACGGGTAACCAGTGTACGGCTCTGAGCAATGGTGTAATATGACAAAATTTACTTTCGTGAAATACAAGACGTGCAGCCGAGTTCTGGACTCTTTGCAGTTTTTGAATCTGATACGCTGGTAAGCCATA